CAGGCCCCACTGTGTGAGGTTCCCCCCTACTGTGTCCATGTGTTCTTATTTTTATTTTCTTGGTTGTTTTCCAGAAAAGTCATTTCACCCTAAGATTTGCAATTGATTTTGCTGACTTGGCTTGGTCAGCCAGTCACCAAATCCTAGACTCCTCTGTACTGGCCTCTTTCTGGATGAGCCCTCAGTGCAATCCTTAGGAAGCAAGGTCGATCCTGGTACAGTGGCTCAAGCCTGTAATCTTAGCATTTTGGGAGGCCAACATGGGAGGTTCGCTTGAGCTCAGGAGTTCGAGGTTGCAGTGAGTTGTGATTGCACCACTGCACTCCAGTCTGGGTCAACTGAGCAAAAGCCTCAAAAAGCAAAATAATTAAAAATAAAAAGGAAGCAAGGCCAAAAGAAACCATATTCAATAGGAAGTACATTTTCTACATCTGGCATTTTGTCTGACTGTTGGGCAACCACTTCTTAGTGCTCCAGGGCCCACGACATTTACTGCTATTCCCATTCCTGTGATGGCGCTCAACCTCTCCCACACGTGGTCCCCAATGTTGTGTAAGGGTGTAGGCTTGGCCCTGACTCACAGGGAAGAGGCGATTTGTATCCTGTGAGTCACTGGCACCACTTCCTGCTGGCATATTTGAGATTTCACTGAAACATAACCTGAAAAATGAAGGTATACATATATATGAGGCTCACATTCCTAAAACCCATTTGGAGCTTTGATAGAAATAATGGCCTCTGAGTTCATTCCCATTTTTGTAGCTGTATTGTAAAAGAAGTGCCAACTGCCAACTTTGAGTTTACAGATCATCTGTGTTATATCACCTGGCGAGAAATTCCTTTGTATCTTAATTACCAATGTCACCAGACCAGAAATGCCACCAGGTCTGTTTGTTTTTTTTTTTTTTTTTGGTTTTTTTTTTTTTTTTTTTGACATAGACACTATCTAAAATCTTTAGTATCGGAGTGAATTATTTGCTTAGCAACAATCCATTGTCAAGGATGAAAAAGTCAGCTATAATATTTGAGGTCCGATCCTGAAGAAGTTATGTTCAAACAACACTAAGATCATGAAAAAACTTGATATTAAGGAAATATATACATATGGCTTTAGCATTTATTCCCTCCCTGCATGACTCTTTAAAATAATGACTAGTGATTCTTAAGGGTAACAGGATAGTGGATGTAATATTTCTCTGGAGATACATTTTTCCTTCATTTGATCCCATTCACCCTTCTACCCTAGTTTGCAAGTGTTTGGGAGCAAAGGCATATTGCAGAAACATTTAAGAACTATTGTTTTAAAGCAATAGTGCTGTACAGTTGGACATGACTTGGAATTATTTTTTCTGTTTTATTGGCCACATTGATCCACAATGGAATTGCATTTATACACCTTAATTTGAAAGGAGCATTTAAAATTATATACGATTCCACCTGTAAAATATCCTGCTGCAGGATTAATGCAGCAAGTCTCATAGAAACTATCCTGAGTGATGGACTGTGTCCAAGGAAGCGTCACAGGTAAGGAAAGCCCAGTTTTTGTGGAGGCACACCCTGGGCTGAACATTCTTTAATTAACAAAGACAAATATTTCACCTGTGGCCTGAACAACTGGAACAAAGTTTCAACAGTGGAAAGACTAACAACTACTAAAACCCTTTAAAAAAGAAGACTAAAAGCAACACCCCAAAATAATTAGTTGGATTCTATAATAATTGCAGGTTGCAATTGGAAGCAATTCCAACCAGGAAAGGTTAGGCTTTAGTTTATGCAAATAATAGAGAAACTATTTGCAAATGTGCATTTTTTCCCTCGCTAGCATTTTTCTATAGAAAGGATAATGTCTCCTCAAAAGCTTTCCTCAGTTGAAGAAATATGTAGGAATAGGAATGTCAAGGATGTAAGCACATGCAACTAAAACTCCAATTTGTATTGAGGAAACTGTAATAGTTAAAGGATTTAATTCCTCAGTAGTGAAAGTGTAGTGAAATTATTATTGTGATATAAAGTAAAATTGACTTGAATGAGAATCTGCTTATCCTCCATAAAAAATTTAGCGGAATAGTTTTCGACTCTGTTCAACTGACAATGAAATCTAGGCTTTAGCTATTTCTTTGCCATTCAATAAACATGTTTTGTTGTTGTTTTGTCATTGTTGTTCTGGCTCTATAACAAGAATTGAAGTAGCATTTATATTGTAGGAAAAACATTGAATGGGGAGGAGATAATTCTAAACCTTTAAAGACAACAGTATTTTCAAATCATTGAAGAATAGGAGACATGATGTCAAAAGAAAATTCATAACTCTTCTCTTCTGCAGTCATAAGTGATCTTAGACAAACTTTTAATTTAAATTCACTGAGCATATCTGAGACTAATAACTACTTCACAGAATAAAGTGTGAAATTTGATATATGAAGTTGTACATTATGATGCTGATGCCTATGTTAATTTAGTTTTCGGAACCCAAAAAAATACAATCAGCTTAACAGATACAAGCCTTCTCTAATTGGGAAAAAATAAAATTCCTGTATTGCATGAATTAAATCATGCTTTACAGTACCATGTAACAGAGATTTACAAACTTGTTATAAGCCAGTAGAGGGCACTGTCAACATATATACTGCTAAAACCAGAGGCTGGAGTTTGAGAGTCAAGGAACATTCATGGGATATGTCAGCCACTTAAAAATATTAGTTTATTTCACTATATTCTCCCAAAAAATCTATAATATAGGAAAAATTAAGACCCGGAAAAGTAAATTAATTTTTTCAAGATCACCTAGCTCAAGTTTTCCTCAGAAGACTGCCTTTCCACCATACTTTGTGGCCTCTATGTTGGGTTAAATACTCTACTTCCGTCTACCATAATTTGTTGTCTGTGATGTACAATATACTCTAGTATTACTGCTCATGTCCAAGTTCCAAAAAAGTGGCCCGTTTAACAATATGTATCCTTGGGAAAGGTTATTTAAACTCTTTATACATTAGTTTTTTTTCTAATGGTGACAATAATAGTATCTTCCTCAAACTGGCACTGAGAGGACTAAATAATATATAGAGATGATGTGAATTTAACCATACCTGGTTGTATTAGTTTGTTTTCACATTGCTATAAAGAACTTCCCTGAGACTGGGTAATTTATAAAAGGAAAGAAGTATAATTGACTCACAGTTTTGTATGGCTGGGGAAGTCTCAGGAAACTTACAATTATGGCAGAAGGCAAAGGGGAAGCAAGCACCTTTTTGACAAGGCAGTAGGAGAGAGACAGGAGAAGGAGGAACTTCCAAACACTTATAAAACCATCAGATCTCCCGAGAAGTCACTCATTATCATGAGAAGAGCATAGAAGAAACCATCCCCATTGATTCAATCACCTCCCTCCCTTGACACATGGGAATTACAGGTTCCTCCCTCAACATGTGGGGATTGAAATTCAAGATGAGATTTGGGTGGGACACAGAGCCAAACTGTATCACTGGTACACAGTGCATGTTCAAGAGATGGATCATCTTCTGTTTGAGCTGTGAAAGATGTGGAAAGTTGAATATTTTCTCTTGTCTTTATGGAGGGATTAATCATCCTTTCATAACAGTTATCACTTAGCTACCTCAACTTAACAGGTCGATTTAAACTCTTCTTGTACTTACAGAAACTGAATTCTCAGTGTGGTTAATCTGGCATCCCTATTCCTTATCATATGAGATAGGATATTTTCCTATTTTACCTAGATTACATTTACCTAGCTGCCAATCAGTCAAGGAGAATTTTCAGGAGTAGGAAACGACTAGTAATAAATGACTAGTAATCATCCTAGTAATCACGCACCATAGGCCAGTAAACAAACACATGAATCCAAAGGAAAATGTCCAACTGACAAAAGAAAACAAAAATAACATGGGAGGATTTTATTCTCAAAAGACAACCTTTAGGGGGTAGAAAAGGCAAGCTTAACATATATGTCATTATCCCCACAGTAGGTACTATTCATTTCTTCTAACAAAATATGTCTAACTTTTTTCAAATCTCATTTCTGAAATTCATTACTCCTCAGAGCAGTTGCAAGCTGAAGTCATTAATTAATTCCGTAATTAGAGCTTAATTGCTGCTAATACTACTGCTACCACTACCATTAGGATTTACAATATGATAGTTACTCAAATAAACTGGAAAGATTGGTTGAAGTGCAAATACCTAAAGCTTAAACAGAAGCAACTACATGCTCTTAAGTAAACATGTGTGCAGTTAAAAGGGTTCTCCTTATCATGCTTTCTATATAATTCAGAAACTATCTGAGTCATTCTGATGCCTATATTTCAACATTTTATCTTTTCACTGAAGACACTTGATGAAACAGCTGATTTAAATTCTTCTTGTGCTGACAGAAACTGGATTCTAGGGCTCAGTACAGTTCATTTGGCCTAGCTTTTCCTCCTCATATTAGATGAGATATATTTTGATTTTACCTACCTTGGATTTTATTAATTAAAATCTATATTCATGTGTAATTCAATGCAAGGAGTAACTTAGGTACATAAATCAATATGAATCTTTCTTAGGTTGAGTTTCTTGCTGTTACCATAAATGGGAACTGATTTTTTATTTAGAGACTTCTTTTGTGATGGGATCTACCTTGGAGCATTTCTCTGAATTCATGATGGACTAAAATAGTGGGAATTCTCCAACCGATAATGTGTCTTAAGAAACCAAACTTCAAAATCAAATCTCTGAAAATGTTATTGTGAAATGTTTAGAGCAGGTCAAGTCTGTAGCCGTGAATATAATGCCAAGGCTTTTATACTTCAACAGGATAGCTGCTGCTAGTGTTTGTATTTTCTTTTATATGTCTGTTTCCATGAATTATTTTATTTTGTGGTTTTGATGGACCAAATCCTTAAAACAGAACAACTCTATAAGTACTGCAGTTATGTAGAAATTTAATGAAGATTTCTTTCCTTAACAAATTAATTATATATTTGATTTTTCTTCATAAATAGGTTTCCATCTTCTACAGGCAGTCCTCAGTACAACTGTGATTCCATCATGTATCCCAGGAGAGTCCAGCGATAACTGCACAGCTTTAGGTAAGTCCGACATTGTCAATGTGGCCTCAAGAGACTACACATTTTTAAACAGAAATGTAAACTCAAATACTATAAGTATGTGGCAATGAGAAAAGGGTAGGAATAGCTGCTATATTACTTTTTAAACCATCTTATAAACTCATGTTCTGAAAAAGTTACATAAAAAAACAACTGGTAGAAGAGGGACCAGACAAATTATATACACAGGTTTGACTGTAAAGAGATAGGGACCAAAAAAATACTGGATTTCCCTTGGCCATTTCCTTGTGCTTTACTGCAAAACCATCGTCAGAGGCCACACTGACTGGATTCCAGGCAAAACAGGAAAACTTTGTACAGAGTAGGCTCCCTATCTGTCTCTTTCTACCCTCTTTCTCTCCTGTTAGAAGAACAAATGATGGTCTTTTCTTTCTAGGCACAGTGTTCATTCAGAAAACATTTATCGAGTACTTAGTATGCACCAAACACTGTGCCAAGGCATAGGGATACAAACATAAGTAATACAGTTTTTCTCCTCGAGCACTGTGGACTTCAGATATGGTCCAAAGGGGATCAGCTTTATCTTCAGTCTGAGCTATTGAATCAAGATAACTGAGTTATTTTGAGGAAACAAGATATTTTCCACAACAACTTTACCTTTTCTTTTGTCCCTGATCATCAGGGTTTTTGGAGGTTTGGTCAGTCTCCCCCCATCACCTTTTTTTTTCCTTCTTTGGTTATTTGTGCAAGAGTATTACAATCAAATTGCTATTTCAAAAATAATTTTACAAGCATTTTTCACATTTTGGTATCTAAAACTTTCTAAAGTGAATTTTACACAGGGCCTCTGTTTTCATTGTTGTATTTGTCTAACAGAGGCCTTTCTCACTAGGGTTTGTCTAGTTTGCATTCAGGTATCATTATTAGAGATATTGGGAGACATCGGTTGATTTCACTAATGGTAACCTCAACAACTTGAGAACATACACCAAAGCCAGCTATACTGATTAAAAATCCCCTGTAGAATTAAGATTCTTTGAATTAATTAATGGTATGAGCTTGAGCTTGCAACTGTTTTGGGGAGTAACAGATTTCAGAATTGTTTTGGGACTTGAGAAAAATTAGACACATTATGTTTGAAGAAGGAAATACCCGCTTGGAGGATAATGACGTGTGTGTGTGTTAAATTTGCCTTTTCTACCCTTAAAGGTTGTCTTTTGAGGATGAAATCCTTCCACTTCATCTTGTTCTGTTTAGTCTGTTGGACATTTTCCTTTGGATTCAAGTGTTTATTGACTGGTCTAGGGGCTGTGATAACTATAGTGACTTCTACTCAAAATTCTCCTCAACTGATTGGCATCTGACCTGTTTTGTTGAAGTAGCTCAGTGGTTACTATTATGAAAGAGTAATTCTTCCATAAAGGCTACAGAATATATTCAACTTTCTACTTCTTTCACAGTTCAGACAGAAGATGATCCACGTGTGGCTCAAGTGTCAATAACAAAGTGTAGCTATGACATGAATGGTTACTGTTTGCATGGACAGTGCATCTACCTGGTGGACATGAGTCAAAACTACTGCAGGTAATATACTAGAAATAAACAAACACAGTGCGCAATTTTTAAAAAATAGATTTAGGCGAACAAGTGCAGATTTGTTAGTGGATATATTGAGTAGTGGTGAAGTTTGAGCTTTTAGAGTACCTACCCCTCAAATAGTGTATATGGTACCCGTTTGGTAAATTTTCATCCCTTAAACTCCTCCCACCAAATCTACCTTTTGAAGTCTCCAGGGTCTAGTCCTCCATTCTCTATGATCATGTGTACACATTATGGCTCCCACTTGTAAGTGAGAACATGTGATAAATGTAGTTTTACTCTCTATTTTATAGTATTTCTATATTTTAAAATTACCATATATTTCCATGGGCTGTTAAATGCAATATATATATATTATTAGAAACTTTACTGACTTTTTAAAAGATTATGGAGTAAATAGTATCTTTCAAATTGTACAGATATGTCAGAGGCGTAGAGCAGGGAGGGCTTTTGATGCATCTAACACTTGCCAAGATGGTGTCTCTCTGTTTTGGATCTCTTCCTTCAGCTTCTATTTCAGGTATTGTTTTAAGAATTGATTTCAGATCAGGCATGGTGGCTTATCCCTGTAACCCCAGCACTTTGGGAGGCCGAGGCGTATGGATCACTTGAGGTCGGGAGTTCACAAACAGCCTGACCACCATGATGAAACCCCCATCTCTACTAAAAATACAAAAATTAGCCAGGTGTGGTGGCAGGCACCTGTAATCCCAGCTACTCAGGAGGCTGAGGCAGGATGATCACTTGAAGCCGGGAGGCAGAGGTTGCAGTGAGCCGAGATTGCGCAACTGCACTCCAGCCTGGGTGGCAAAGCAAGACTCCGTCTCAAAAAAACAAACAGAGAAACAAACAAAAAAAGAATTAGTTCCACTGATTTAGACAACTTACAAAACACCACTGTGGACCGTCAGCCACCATGACAGCTGAACACAACTGTCATTTTAATGCCACAATTTAGCCCAAGAGTTATGTGGAGCCATTTTATCATTATTGGCCCAACTGTAAGGTTAATCTTTGAAATCCTCTTTACAACCTTTAACAAATGTTGATGATTTCTTGCAATATAGTATGATGTTAGTCTTTATAAAACTAATTCATAATCATGATTTCCTTTTTAAATAACTGATCTTTCCTTGTTCTGTATTTTGCTTCAGGTGCGAAGTGGGTTATACTGGTGTCCGATGTGAACACTTCTTTTTAACCGTCCACCAACCTTTAAGCAGAGAATATGTGGCTTTGACCGTGATTCTTATTATTTTGTTTCTTATCATCGTTGTCGGTTCCACATATTATTTCTGCAGATGGTAAGTCACTGTGCTTTTTATACTCTGCTTTTATAAATTACTTTTACATAATGTAGACCTATAAATTGGGTAAAAATATGGATAAAGTATTAGAGAGATAAGATCAAACCTGTACAAATTATATTTACAAGAGTTGAGACACTATTAAGTATTATGCCCAATACCTGGGTGGTGAGATCAATTGTACCCCAAATCTCAGTATCACACAATATGCCCAGTTAAGAAATTTGCACATGTACCCCTGAATCTGAAATAACTTGAAATTATTTTTTTTAAAGATTTTTTTTGCTGCAGAACATCTGGACTGAACTTTATTATCAGCTCTGGTACTTATTAACTATGTGACCTTACATAAGTCAAATTGGGAGTAACAGTTTCTTTCTTTATAAAATATGGACAGAAATTTTTATCCTACATTAGTTACAGGGTGGCCGCTTTTAGTATGTAACATGATAATTCATGTGAAAGTGAATCATAGGAAAGGTGCTAATGTTATAGTCACATGAATTTAATTCATTAAGTCAAATTTTTATTTCATAAAAAAGCCTTGTGAATTAATAAATAACCTTAGAAGCTTGGAAATCTTATAGTTTAAGGTTGGTGGAAATGTTTCAAGACAATTATAAAAAAATGGTTGTTAAAAAATACTTTGTTTCAGTTACCCAAAACAGTCATACCTCATCCTCATGTACATTATTGTCATGAGCTGAAAACAGAAAAATAGAAAGTAAACATTGAAACTATAATTTGATAGTTTTTTATTTTAGAGTTAGGGGCAAAGGATGGGAACAGTGTCAATTAATTAATAACAGTTCCCTTTAAAATGTCTCCATGAAACCCTTATTTTGAGAAAGGTACAAATTACTCAATGAGGATTTCAGTTTTTACTTTCCTGTGAAAGTAGTGCATTTCTAATTTCAAAGGTCTGAAAGTGTGCTACTTTCATAAGATTAAATTTATTTTGCCTATGTTTGATTCTAAATAACCAACAAATAATAATGCTTTCCTAATAAGTTGCCATGACAGAACTGAATGTTATTAAAACTAAAATACACCTGAAAATCTTTGACCGTAATTCTTTCCTTCATAAATGGGACACAGAGGCTTAGAGAGGTACATTCACATGTCCCAGCTCACATAGTTGATAAATGTCAGAGTTAAGAATGAATGCTTTCTAATTCATATTCTTCCAGTAAGCATAGACATGATGTGGTTTCCTCAAAGCTACGAGCCTCATTTCCAAAATGCGGACAAAATAAACTAAAAATATTAGAAAAATAGACTAATGAATAAATGAAAGAAGATTCTTAATTATGATAAATCTATGAAAACTAGCTATGTGACCGTGGGCACGTTCTGTATAACCAATTTGTATTTCACTTTCTTCATCTGTAAGATGAGGATAGTAACAGCAAATGTGAGGGTAAAATAAATAATGCATGTATAGCACTTAGAACATTGCAGGTCACCAAATTGTGCCTGACAAATGTTATTTTTATTTTGATTAGTGATAGCATCATATCAATGTGATGGTCAGGGTGTATTAATGTAGCATGATATTCAAAATATGCATTCCTTAGAAGAAAGAAAAAAGAAAAAGAGAGACAGAAAAAAGAAAACCCCAAACTCAGACTTAAATGTAGTCACATGCCTCTTGGAATTTCACAATATTCATGATCATGTTAAAGACTTTGAGAAGTCTTTTAAGTGTATTTTATCATTTCATTCCAAAATTGTTTGACTACAGCACAGTAACTCTTCATCCTCCCCTCCCCTTTTTTTTTTTTTTAACCTCGTCCAACCTATATCTGTGCACCTTTGTCATTTGGGAGACACTATGTTAATATGCCTTTGAAGTCCATATGTAACATACTTGTTCCTATTAATGTTAACTACAATGCTAACAGTTTCATTTGTGAATATTTCCAGGTACAGAAATCGAAAAAGCAAAGAACCGAAGAAGGAATATGAGAGGGTTACCTTAGGGGATCCAGAGTTGCCGCAAGTCTGAATTGTGCCATAAAACTTATGGGCAGAGATGAACATTGTGCCCAGTTAATATTAATATTCCTATTTTATTAATAATATTTATGTTGGGTCAAGTGTTATGTCAATAGCATTGTATTTTAATATACTTGAAAAATAATTTTATTTTTGTTTTATTTTTGACAGACTATTTGTTAATGTATAATGTGCAGAAAATATTTAATATCAAAAGAAAACTGATATTTTTATAACAGGTGATTTCCTGAGCTAAATGCTTCATTGAAAGCTTCAAAGTTATATGCCTGTTGCACAGTGCTTAGAAGTAAGCAATGCCCAGGTCATAGCTCAAGGATTGTCAGCAAATGACAGATTTGTGTAAGCCTAAATATATAGTCAAATCAATTTAGTAAGTATATTTTTTTCTACTCCTCAAATCAATGGTAATTGATTTGACTGTACCATGGTTTGATATGTTAGTTGACACCATGACGTCGCATATCAAAACAATAATGCAATTGGAATTTGGGAGAAGCAAATATATGTTCTGTGTTAAACACTAGACGTTTGAAACAAGCTAACCCTGGGGACCCTATGGTCTCTTCACTCTTGTCTCGACTAAACTCCATGTCATAGGAGGAGCAGTGGACCGTTCCCTATGCCAACCCAGTACTCCTACTGGTGCTAGTCACTCATCTGCCAGATTCTGTCTATGTAAAATATATTGAAAAATAATTTTATATAATATTTTATTTAAGTAGAGGACATTTCACAGCTTCACAATGTTCCTTTTTTTGTATATTACAACATTTATGTGAGATAATTGTTGTTCATCAGACAATTAGAAAACAGTCCACACTTGAAGCCTACATTTGTGCTTCAATTTAGAATATTTCTTTTTATAGAGGATTTACTGAATTCTAACATTAATCACAGTCCAAAATTTGATGGACTAATTATTATTTTAAAATATATTAAGACAATAATTCTATATGTTGTCTTAAGATGGAAAAACAGTTATTTCATCTTTTATTCAAGAAAGTTTTAACTTTAAAACAGCTCAGTAAGTGACTTCTTCTAGAATTTAAAGTTACATATTTAAAGCTGTATCTTGATACAGGAAGTGGGAAAAAAACTTAAAAATTAATATAGTGTATTTTTCCAAATGAAAATCTCATTTGAAAGATTTGAAAACGTAAAAACTTAAACACACCTTCCTATGGAGTCTGAGATGAAAATTAGGGCTCATTTTTTTGACATTTGCTTATTTTTTGGAAGAGACAAAGGTTTCTTCTGCACTCTGAGTCCATAGGTCTCAGTGAGTTAATAGGAGTATTTTGGACTATTGCATAAGGAGCCACTGCTGCCACCACCTTTGGATTTTATGGGAGGCTGCTTTATTGAATGCTAAACCTTTGGGTAGTCTCCCTGGATCACATACCAGGTCAAGGAGGATCTGTTCTTCCTCCACTTTTTTCCTGGCATGTGCTAGGGCGACAAAGACATAATAACCCCTGCCTAACCTCTGGAGCATCAGCTGCCAGGACTTGCCCCCATGAATATCCATGTATTATATACCCTGGTGTAATCACATGAATATCATCTAAAGTCCTCGCCCTGGCCCTTACTATTAGGAAAACAGACAAACACACACACACACACAGACACACACACACACATTTATGTGTGTCCTGCACACATTTATGTGTGTGTGTTCATATACATATTGTTTATATATGCATACGCATATTGTATATATATTCATACACAAACATGTATGTATACATAACCTCAATGGATCATAGAATTACCATCATCTGTTGCTCTATTAACCATTTATAGAAAACTTAGAAACAAGAGAAAAGAAAAATCAGATCTAAAAAGTTATTCCTGCTTCCTATTTAATATAGCTGAAGTCAAAGTATATAAGAACACATTGTAAGTACTATACTTCCAGTTGGCTCTCTGTATCTATAGAGGTTGGCTAGTTCCACATCTATGGATTCAACCAACCAAGGATGGAAAATATTTTAAAAAAATACAAATAAAAACCAATGATAATATAAATATTGTAAATTTGTAAATAACAACTATTTACATAGCATTTACATTAGGTATTATAAGTAATGTAGAGATTAAGTATATGGGAGGATATGAGTAGGTTATATGCAAACATTATGTCCTTTTATATATGTGACTTGAACATCTGTGCCTGATTTTAATATGTGCAGGGGGGCGAGCCTGGAATCAGTCCCTTGTGGATACCAACACTTACTAGGTGTGAATTGAGTCTGCGTATTTTCAGTGAACTTCGCTGTTTCAAAGAAAATCTATTGACTATTCAAGAAATCAGCTGCAATCCATTTATTTCATTTACAAAGATTTATTATAAGTATCTCAATAATTGATTTGTCAGTTTATCTTAAGTATCTCAATTCCTAAAAACAAGTCATTTTAGTATTTTTTACCTTTAGGAATGCTTCACTAGGCATTCAAAGGTAACACATTCAATAACTGATATTCCCCTAAAATAGTTAGATTTTTATAAATGCACATTAAATAATAAATTATGACCCACATTACTTTTGATGGCTGGAAATAAAACAAAAATAATTGTTTTAGTTAGGATGGTGCTGACTAAACATAAAAACTGATTTCCATGAGCTCATGTGTTATGTCCACAATGGAAAGATTTTAGTTTGCATTTAGTCTCTCTTCCCAATTTTACAGATTTCTCACTATATATATTTCTAGAAAGGATGATGTATATTCAGTGTATTGAAAACCAAAGCAACCACAAATGCATAATTTATGGTCTCCACCAAGGCCACGTAATAACCCAGTTAACCTTTTCTTTAACCAAGAATATTAAGTTCTATAACTAATACTCAAGCTTTAACCTTAAAATTGAGATTTCCATATTGTGCTAAACATATATAATACAATGTAACTTCACTGTTCTCCTAAACATTCTTTTGCTCTAATCTCTCTGCCAAAAGTCAAAGCGATGGGAGAACTTGTACACTGATATTACTATGTCTTAAGTCAGATTTTTATTTATGAGTTTTTGAAACCAAATTCAATCACCACCAGGTATCAAATCAACTTTTAGCAGCAAATACATGATTCTAGTGTCTGACTTCTGTTAAATTCAAAAATGCAGTTTTTAAAAACCTGTATCTAACCCACTTTGTAATTTTTGTTCCAATATCCATTCTGTAAACTTTTGAACAAAACGTTTTTAATTTGCCACCCAATATATTCTTTTAAAAAATTCGTGTTTATATGGGAGAAAGGGGAGTAACAACTTGTACAAACAGTATTTCTGGAGTATATTTTAATGTTTTAAAAAAGAATGATTTTATTTAAACATCTGTTATTCAAATTTGATGATGTTAAATGCAATATAATGTATTTTCCTTTTATTCTGCACTCTGTAATTGCACTTTTTAAGTTTAAAGAGCCATTTTGGTATACAGTTTTTATTAAAGATGTTATGGAACATAAAGTTGTATTGCATGCAGTTTAAAGTAACTTATTTGATTATAAATTTTATCAGAGTACTGAATTGTATCAATTTGTTTGTGTTCAATATCAGCTTTGATAATTGTGTACCTTAAGATATTGAAGGAGAATATAGATAATTTACAAGATATTGTTAATTTTTATTTATTTTTCTTGGAAACTGAAAAAAATGAAATAAATAAAAATGCATTGAACATCATGCATTCAAAATCTACACTGGGAAGTCAGTCTCATTCTTTTTTTTTTATTTTGCAATTGTTTTCCCACAAAAAATTAAAGGGTTTATAGGCAGTGACAAGGCTATAATGTGTGCAGATATAAAGACTCAATGGTGTTAATTTTGGAAAACAGTCTATAAATGCATCACATATTATAGCCTACCATAGTGAAGACCTTCTTGAACTAGAAGGAGCCACATTAATTATAAAATTCTAGGTGCTGGTATTTTAAAATCCTAGAAGTTAGTATTTAAAAAAAAATTTAAAGTGCATTTTAAAAGAGTATTTCTAAAAAGAATAGACATCCTGTTGAGAAGTAGCATTTGAAAAGATACATCAGCCAGAATGGTGTCTTGTGATTCCCTCAGCCTCTGCAAAGAGGCTTGACTCCCCTGAGCCTGCACAGCAGACAAGTTTGATTCTTCTGAAACTCCATCACAGTGATGGACGGCTACCTCCGTATAGGGCTTCAGCAGCCTGCAGAGTACTTGCTCCATCCCTCAGCTCCTTGTATCTTTCATTAGCCTGCAGCTGGGGCAGGGAGTTATGGCTAAGCCCATTTGGCAGGGAAGTTAAGCAATTTGTCCTGGGTCACACCAGTGGCAATAGATGGAGCTGTCATGAGAACTGAGGTCTTCTGACTCCTAATTTCACTGATTTTCTGGCCATATCAGAAGCAGAGGAAGATCATAGGGAGATAGTCTCAGATCTAGTTTAGAGTTTTCTTGGGAGAAACAAATTCTTGTAAAACAGAATCTTTGAATTGTCATAGAACCATTACACTGATTTAGTTCAAGATCTGAGAACCCAGAAGATTAAGGAAGAGAACTGTTAGAAACACTCGTTTTCTCTCAGCTTCCAGGATACTACACTAAACTGTTTTTCTACCTGCTTCTCAGTCTTTTGCTAGATCTTCCTCAATATTTCCCTATCCTCTACCATGGACCTAACAACAATAGAATTCCCCAAAGCTCAATCTTGTAAGTTTTCTCTCCATATAGCCACTCCCTACCTCATTCCATATAGTTTCATATCTTTAATTGCTGTCTAGATACTGATTACTCCCAGTCTAAGTATTTGCCATGAGTTCCAGATATCTGTGTCCAATTACCTAACATCTCCACTTACATAGTCACTAGGCATTCAAAGGTAACATGTTCAATAACTGATATTCCCCTAAAAATGTTTCTTCAGTAATTCTTCTCTCTCAATTAAATTAAACTCCATCTTTCTTGTATCTCAGACCGAAAACCTGGTATCTCTCTCTGGGAGGTGCTAAATGTCTCATCTTCAAGTGATTTCACAGAGAAATAACCTAAACTTTTACAATGATGGCAGAATTGGTCATTTTGAAGAGATTATGCAGATGAGGAAAAAGATTCCAAGAAACTGGTGTTAGAATATCACAGTTTTCAAAAGGATAAAATTATAAGCACTGAATTTGACTCCGATCAATTCTAGAATATACTTTTCCCTAAACAGTCATAAAACATTATTAAATGTAAGTGCTGTTCATTAGGTTCCAACATGAATTCATTGAGAAAAGACATAAAACATGAATCTCTTTTAAATATCCTGTCTGGTCACCCACTAATGCTAGCTATTTATTATGCAAACCTAAACACAGATACTCTGTTCAGTTTATCTAAATTTCAGAGAAATTCTTGGGAAAAGACTTCCATAATTTTCTTATTAGCTTGTAGTGTGCAATGTATCTATTAAGAAAATGAGCACAATTTAAGCTCATTTAATGGAAGCAATGTAAGTGGATCCATTACATGCTAAATAAATGGAGACCATGTGACTAAGTGATACAGAACTTTATATTAGGGATTGGTTATACTAGTGGATGATAGGAACTACACATAAAAATATAATCATGTATTGCTGACCAATGATGACCTTTCCAATTAATCTATCAGAAAGAATCAAAGATTTTCTATTATTCTCAGTACTATCCCTTCTGGGGATGGCAGGATGTGTCATTCTAAGGAAGTAGGTGTCATTTTTCCAATCTTCAAGTTACTATCAGGTACAGTTTGCATTCTCAAAAAATGAAAAAAAAAACAGTGCTTTATGAGTTAATCGAATTTATTGAAAAGCTTTTCTGTGTTTAGTAATTTGTAAAAGGTTGTGGAATATTCAAAAGAGTATAAAATATACTATCATTTGCACAACAACTTAGAGATTCAAAGTTATGAGAATATTTAAAGAACAGTGGAGACTATTATAGTTAGGGTTTCTTGATTCTTAGGGGAAAAAAACAATTCTGGGTGAAACTAAAAAAAGTTACAGGAAACTTATGAGAAAGTCAATAGAATTAGAGTGAAAGCTAAAAAAACACCAGGACAGTTCTAGTGATTTAGGTAGCAGTGTATTGCTTCTAGAAGGTGTGAATTCCAACCATTTTACTTCTTGGGAGCTTGTGGTCTAAGAAGACAGCATATGACAGTCTAGCTGAGAATATGAGTACACCCTGGCCATGGGAGGGCACTTTAGCTGAAAAAGGCAAAAGTTTTTATCTAATAAGAAAAAAAAACATCATCCCCCAAAGAAAAATAAAATGCTATTGCATGAAGAATGAATAAATTCTGAAAAGACAAATAACAGAAATCCACAAAATATAGTAGATGGTATCATATAAAATAATTTAGAGAAAGGTAACTTCAAGAGGGGAGATTTCATTGATGAGGTAGGACTTAAATTGGATTTTGAAAAAAATGTCAGGACTTTGATATAAGCAGAGACTGTAGGACATTTCAAATGGAAGAATAATCAGCAAACACACTAACATAAAGCATCGCATGTTTAAGATATGTCAGGGAGACTATCTTCATAGTAGCAGAGGATCCATACTTGGGAAAAGTTATGAATTTATTTTGAAGACTCAGTAAAGATGTACCAAAAGGATAAGCTTTACATTTATGAACCATTGAGAATCATTTATAGTTTTTGATCAGAGGAATGACACCATAAATTGGTGTGGTAGGCAGAATGATAGCCCTTACCTCAAAAGACGTCTGTGACCTATTCCCCAGAAACTATGAATATGTTACCTTCCATGGTAAAAGGGACATGACTGATGATTAAGGTTACAGACTTTGCAATGAGGAGGTGACCATGGATTAACTGAGTAGGCCCAAGCTAATCACATGAGTTTTCAAAAGTAGAGCATCATTCCTAGTTGCCGTCAAAGAGATGTGATGTGAGACAGAAGGACTTGACCTACAATTGCTGATAAAGGAAGAGGGTCCCAAGCCAAGAAACACTGGTGGCCTATGGAAGTTGGAAAAAGCAAGAAAATAGACTCTCCTCTATATTATTCAGAGCAGAATGTAGCCCTGACAACACCTCAATTTTCACCAGGTGTCAACATCTTCCTTTTAGCCCAGGGAGGCATCTGTTAGACTTCTGCACTGTAAGATAATAAATCATTGAAATCCTAGTAATTTGTTGACATTAAAAGAAATCTAATGTTGTTAATTTTTTGGAAAGTTTGAAATGAGATTATTTGAGAACCCTTCTTGAGAGAAAGAGGCAGGAGGCAGAGAAACCTACTAATAGAGTGAGTGTAGTAATGACCTAGATGTAAACTGAAGAAAGTTGAGGCTAGGATTATGTTTCGGAAAACAGAGTAGGAGAAGCATTTTAGATATGTCACAGAGGGAAAATCAGGTGTTTAATAATTGGATGTGAGAAATGAGAGAAAGCAAAGTTAGAAATAATTGAGTTTAGGAAAGAAGAAAAATAGTTAAATATGTTGACTCTAAGACAACAGCAGGGTATATGTGTAGAAATAGCATATTTGTGGTATCTGACAACACCTCAATATTATTTACTGTTTTACAATTTACAAAATACTTTCCCATCTATTAACTCTTTGTTTCGATGCATACTTTGAGACAGAAGGTAAGATTCATAATTACTATGTTAAAAATAATATGGTCTCCAGAAAAGTTGTGATTTATACCAGATCATAAAGCAAGTAAAGTCATAGAACTCATACCCTATCCTAGTGCATCCTTTGAGCCCCAGGCCAAATTTCCATCCCCTTAGAGGTGCCCCAAATGCAGAGGTTGGGTATGTGGTCTGGACTAAAGCTGTGATGGTGAAAACTACCATCACAGAGACTATAGCTGAAGCCAGAGAATCACTTCAAGTTAAACACCCCAAAGGAATGAGGGTAGAGGAAAAATGCCAAGAAAACCAATGACTGTCTCAGGAAAGTGACAGAAATAAATCTGTCTAAGGAAAATGGTAAAACAGAAGACTGCAGACAAAAGCAATGATTAAAGATTTAATTTATTCATTCAATCATTCAAATACTTATGTGGGCTTTTTATGTGTCTTACTGTTCTACATCTTGAGAAAAAAATGATAAGACAAACAAAACCTAACATTATATTCCAGCAGGAAAAGAATAAAAATAAATAAATACTAATAACAACAAGAGTTGCAAGCATGTATAGGGCTTACTATTTGTTGTTAAGCTTTTCAGATATAATAACTAATGAAATCCTTCTAACCACCTGATGAGGTTGTAACTATTTATATAAAATGCATTTTTCAGATGAGGAAGTTGAGACACAGGGTAACATGTCTA